GGAATCAAACCAGGGACGCTGCTGTTATGGAGCTGAACTGGAACCATTCAGACACTGAGGCCCTCTGAACACATTTTAATTACAGCTGTGCAGAGACACACTGATGACTGACTGGAACACTATGATTCACATTTACATTAACACCATCCTCACACATGGTTTATATATGACCACTAGAGGGAGCTGTTTCTGTTTAAATACGATGTTTAACTTTTAGCAATGTTTTATAAGTGAGAATACTGTGTATGAAAAACATGCCTAATAAAATGGCAGTGTTACATTTAATATTGGATACATTTTAATTAACTTAAAAGAGATTAAAAGTCACGTGAACATGTGCTCATGGAGAATAATCAAACTATGATTGTTGAAAATTCAACTGAAATTTAACTGAAGCGCTTTCAGAAACTGAAAGAGCATCTTATAGTGACAGGTTAGAAATATGAAGAAATGTGATTGCGGTATGTTGATGACACCTCGTGTTTGCACCAAGCTCTTTCCATAGAAAAGTAAATTTAACTTGAGTCATGTATATAACAACAAAAACTGCAGAGAACTACGGGATTCTAGCTGTTCTGCTGAAGGTTATGAGAGGAGATCTCTGTCAGCTACTATGTTCAAAAAACAAACAAAAAATTAATCTGATGTTGTTTGATTTAACGATAAAATTGTGTTTTTTATTCTTCTTTTTTTTTTTTTGAACACATCTAACTGGATGCAGTAGAATGAGAGAAAGTGAAGACATCTGCTGGAAAATCACCATCACCATCACTCTATTGGATTTTTCTTTTCTTTGATTGAATTTAGAATACTGACTATTTTGATTACTGAATTTTAATAATTTCTTGATTTGTAAAGCTTTCAGTTTTATGCCAAATGATGTTGGTTAAATGTAAACAAACAACACAGTATTTACTTTGACAGGAATTTTCTTTTCTTTTTTTTTCTACATTTTCCGAGAATATCTCCTGCTGATATCAGTCCCGTTTTTTGTTGTTTATGTTTCCTGTAGCTATAGAAACCTAGAACCTAGAACCAGAGCAGCAAGACAGATACAAACAGACAGATACAAACAGACAGACTAACTATGAGTCCAACAGATCT